GGGGGGCCCTCCAGAGGCCCCGGGCCTCCCTCGCCCAGTCGGCGCAGCGGGAAGCCGAGTGAGAGACGGCCCAGCCGGAGCTTCCCTGGAGGATCAACCTCACCCTGTCACACCGGGCGGCCGAGCTCAGCTGGAACTGACCGGTGGGCTGCCCCCTTCCCTCTCAGCCCCCTGGCTGCCCCGCCTCTGCCCTCAGGTGGCTCCTGCCATCGCTCTGCTGGGCACGGTGACCCGGAGCAGCCTCACGCCCACAGCTCTGCCTGACCCTGGGCCCACGGCTCATAGCAATGGGGGCAAAGGGGACCGTCGAGCCTGCCCATTGCGCTCGTGAGCCCCCCCCAGGAGGAGCCCAGGCCGGCTTTGCAGGACAGAGAGGAGAATGCTGCAGCAGGGCCCTGGGGCTTTGCTAACAGGACGGCCTGACTCCCAGCCGCTCACCTACAGCAGGCAGAGGAGTCCCCAACGCCACAATAAACAGCCTCCCAGCTGTGCCTCCGGCTGCTTCCTCTTTTGGGCAAGATAGGGGGAGCCCCTGTAAATGGAATTAAGTTCCCTCCACTCTCTGGGGTGGCAGGGCAGGCTGGGGCCCAGCTCAGGCTGGTGTCCTGCTCCCTCGGCCAGGGAGGCAGCACCCCCCTTGGGCTGCCTAACCCCTTTTCCCCCAGTGGCCAGCTCTGCTTCTGGCAGCCCCTGCCCTGTGCCCAGGGCAAGGGCAGAAGGCGGATGTGTGCCCCTCCTGGCACCCTACTCAAATCCAACTCAGCCCCATCAGCACGACTCTCCCCCAGCCCGGCCACTCGCGCCCGGGGTTTATTTTCTGTACAGTCTCTCAGGCCGAGGCCTGGCCCAGCGGCTCCGTTCCCCTCCAGGCAGCAATCCGCCCAGGCCCAGCAGTTCGGCAGCTGCCCCATGGACCAGTGGGCTCACAGTCTCCAGGGCCCGAGTTCAGCCAGCGCCGGGGGAGGGGGTGCGTGTGCTAAGTCCGAGGAGTGAGGTTCGTCCGCAAGGGCAGCAGGGCCTCCACCCACTGCAGGGGCTGGTCCAGCAGGCGCTCCCAGACCACTGGGAGCCTGTAGCTGCTTCCTGTGGGATGACAAAGGGGCTGGGTGAGGGGGTGGGCGGGGCAGGGGCTGTCACATCCTCCCCTAACCTACCAGCCTCCCTGCGCTAGGGGACGGCCTCCCCCCTCCTCACGCTGCTTCTTCCAGCCCTCTCCAGGGGCTAGGCCTAGCCTGGGTGACTGACGGGGCAGTGAGAACAGTGACGGGCCTGGGCTGGGCTGTTCTGCCAATACCGGCCGGGCTGGGTGAGGGGGTGGGCGGGGCAGGGGCTGTCACATCCTCCCCTAACCTACCAGCCTCCCTGCGCTAGGGGACGGCCTCCCCCCTCCTCACGCTGCTTCTTCCAGCCCTCTCCAGGGGCTAGGCCTAGCCTGGGTGACTGACGGGGCAGTGAGAACAGTGACGGGCCTGGGCTGGGCTGTTCTGCCAATACCGGCCCCTGGGAAAGCCCCTGAAGTGTTGGAAGGGGGTGAGGGCTTTAGGGAAGCAGCAATGGCTATAGGATGGGGACACCCCAAAGGACAGGGTCCTGCCAGTACCCCCCTCAGGCCTCCCTCCCCTGCCTGGCAGGACCCACCTGCCCCCTGGGTATGGGGGGCCCCCTGCCATGGGCCGTGTGAGGCATTGGCGGCCCGGCGCCTGCTCACCTGTGCCCAGGCTGAGCCGGATGCCGCCTAGCTGCTGCTTGGCGAAGGTCTCGTGCTCCCAGAGGGTGAACTCGGCGCAGGCCTCGCGCAGGTCCTTGGCCTGGAAGCCGTCGTACACCATGGTGTGGTTGAACACGGGGCTCAGGCTCCGCTTCACCACCCGCGTCTTCTGGCAGCTCGTCTTGCTGTCGTCGGGCAGCACGTAGCTGAGGGGGAAGCGCAGCCTGAGGCAGGTGCAGCCGGCGGGGGGGAGACTGTGGGGCTGTTCCCTGGCACCAGAGCCAGGGGGGCAGGATGAAAGAAACAGGCTGCAGAGCTGGGGGGGACGGAAGGCGCTCGGCTGCTCTGCCCTGTGGCCCCAGAGCTGTTGGCAGGACCCCAGCTGGGGGATGGGGTGGCTGAGGGGCTGGCGTGACATGGGAGCGGACAGCAGCAACCCATAGACCTATCCCATGGTTTCTGCAGCAGCCAGCCGGGGGCTCCCCCTC